GAGACAGAATTTCGCTCCTGCTGCCCAGGCTGGAGTAAAATGGTGCGATCTCGGCTCATTGCAACCTCCGCCTCCTGGGTTCAAGCGATTCTCCTGCCTTAGCCTCCTGAGTAGCTGGGATTACAGGCACCTGCCACTGTGCCCAGCTAATTTTTTGTATTTTTAGTAGAGACAGGGTTTCACAATGTTGGCCAGGCTGGTCTTGAACTCCTGATCTCAGGGGATCCATCTGCCTCGGCCTCCCAAAGTGCTGGGACTACAGGCATGAGCCACTGTGCCCAGCTTGAATCCTGATATCTTAACATTGGAGAGAGATTTTCCGTGTCTTAGTTTTCAAAAATATTTGAAATGTCTGTATAAGATTCCATCCTATGAGCATGTCACACTTATTTAATCAGTTGCATATGGCTGGACATTAAAGTTGATTTCCGGGTTGTTGAATATTACTGTGATGAGCAACCTTTTAACATCTACATCCACGTCTGATGATTTCCTTAAGATAATTATTGGAAGGGAGATACTTCTGAGTTAAAAAGTATGAGTTCCTAAGGCTCCTGACACAGATTGCCAAACTGCTTTCCAGAAAGTTTCTCCCAGTTTACACTCCCACAACAGCTTCCTAGAGTTGGCATTAAACACTGAAAGGAGTTTCTCCTGTGAGGATTGCCTAGAAAGCTGACTGTCCCCTGGGCAGGAGGGAGCTGTGAGATGTGAGCACGGGCCTGGCATGCCCAGAACTAGGCCCTGGAAGAACACTCTGGCTGCAGGATGGAGACTGTGTTGGAGGGGGCAGGTGGGGGGCCACTGTGGGGGCTGACACCATCATGCAGGGAGAGTCACCTGAGTGTCACACGAGGGGACAGGGATTAGAGGCTTCGTGGGGTAGCGCTGGCTTCTGGTTGGAAGGGTTAGGGTTTGAGATTGGCCTGTGGAGGGCTTCGAGCCGTGGTGGGGGCGCAGAGGGTCAGTTGAAGGGCTGTACCTGTTAGCTACTCTTGCAGCCCGAGGGCAAGGCCAGATGTGGACTTGGGCTACTGGAGGAGAAAACAAACCAGTGAGGAGGCAGCAGTGGTGGCTGGGAGGAAAAGCACTTGCTCGGGGGCCCTGGCGCTAACACTTAGCTTTATGTCTCCTCTGGGCCTCAGTTTCCTTATTCACAAAGGAGGGATGAAAAGCTGAGCAGAGGCCAAGCGCTGTGGCTCATGCCTGTAATCCCAGGACTTTGGGAGGCTGAGGTGGGTGGATCACCTGAAGGTCAGGAGATCCAGACCAGCCTAACCAACATGGAGAAACCCTGGCTCTACTAAAAGTACAAAAAATTAGCCGGGCATGGTGGCGTGCACCTGTAATCCCAGCTACTTGGGAGGCTGAGGCAGAAGAATTGCCTAACCTGGGAGGCAGGGGTTGTGGTGAGCCAAGATTGTGCCATTGCACTGCAGATCGGGCAACAGTTTGAGCAAAACTCCGTCTCAAAAAAAAAAAAAAAAAAAAAAGCTGAGCAGAGAAGGGGGGCTGCTGCAGGGAGGCCCTCAACAGTGGGTGTGGCAGCCCCAGGGAGCAGCAGGCTAGGCCTGGGCTTTGACCCCCTGGGGCGTGGGACTTCTCAGCTTTTCTCTGGAAGAGCACCCCTTTCCGAGGAGCTGACTGTAGCTCTGTCCCGGCAGGTACAATGCCCAGGAGTACTACGACCGCATTCCTGAACTTCGGCAGATCATTGAGCAGCTGAGCAGTGGCTTCTTCTCCCCCAAACAGCCCGACCTGTTCAAGGACATTGTCAATATGCTCATGCACCATGACCGGTGAGCTGGCTGGTCCGAGAACCACGCAGGTGGGGCTGCTGGGCAGATGGAGGCTCAGGTGTGTGGTGGGGAAGCTGGACAGGGGTCCCAGCAGTTGGAATCAAGCACCTTTGGAAGCAGCATGACCCTCCAGGTCGCCCGCTGTCCGCTGGGACAGGACAGGCTTGGCCCTTGACCTCATAGAACTTACCCTAGCTCCTTAAAGGGGATAGCACATGCCTATCCTTTGTCCTCCAGGTTTAAAGTCTTTGCAGATTATGAAGACTACATTAAATGCCAGGAGAAAGTCAGTGCCTTGTACAAGGTGAGGGATCCTGGGCCACGGGTTGTCAGGGCTTTGGTGGCCCGGCTGGGATGAGGCAGAAGGTGGAGGTCCTGCCAGCAGAGTGAACCAGAGCTTTGACCCGCAGAACCCAAGAGAGTGGACGCGGATGGTGATCCGGAACATAGCCACCTCTGGCAAGTTCTCCAGCGACCGCACCATTGCCCAGTATGCCCGGGAGATCTGGGGTGTGGAGCCTTCCCGCCAGCGCCTGCCGGCCCCGGATGAGACCATCTGAACCTCCAGACCAGACCCCAAACCAGCCCTTGAGCCTGTCACCAGCGCCAGCTCCAGCGCCTCCTGCAGAGGGTGGGGTACTGGAGTTAGATCTCTAAGCCCCCTCCTGGAACCCTCATTTTCCCCTCAAGGTCCCAGTGTTCACCGTGACTAAGGACACCCGCCCCCTTCTTTTCTCGGGCTCCCAGTCCTCTCCTGTTTATGGGGTCTGACCAACTGCACCCACTCCCCAATAAATTGATGCTTCTTGGGAGCCTCCTTACCCCTCTCTTTGTTGAGAAATATTTTTAGCTCTTGGCGGGCTCAACAGCAGCTGCGCAATCACCCCCTTATCCTCCATACTCTGCAGGTGCGTCCCAGGGAGGGGGCAGGGGTGGGGTAGACGGGGCGACCCGTGGGGGCGGGGCCTAGGCCTTTCCAGCCCCTTTCCTGGCGTCACCCTTCACGCCTTTCTTCCCAGTGCTGTGTCCATACTAGGTCAGCGGCTAGCCTGGCTGGCCGGGGGCGGGGCGTCTGCCTGGGTGGGGCCCACCGGGGCTGGGAACCGGGACTCGGGCTGAGGCCTCCCGGACCACGGAGAATCCACGCTGTCGGGGGCAGGACCCAGGAGCGGGAGGAAGCCGTGGAAACTCAGCGCCTTCTTGGCTCCGCCCTTAGCCCCGCCCTACTGCGGCGTTTAAGGGTCTCTTAGCAGGTGGCTACGCTCGATGCAAAGTCGGGGGACTGTTAGGGCAGGGAACACTCGCAGACCGTCTAGGCTAGGCCAGTGTCACTCTTTATTATGGGGAAACTGAGGAACAGAAAGGGCCTGTTTCTAGGTCTTACATTACCAAGACTGAGGTGCAGGGGCGGTCCTGGGTCCCCCGCGCCGAGGCTGGGAAGGGCACGCCTCGGAAGGGTGGTTTGGGGTCGGTGGTTTCACAGTGAGTGTGTTTGAAGCCAAATGGCAGGAAACCGTTACCCGCCCTCGTAGGCCCGGCTAGTGGGGACCCCAACTGCCTGCGGCTGCCCCTCCCAAGTTCCTCCCTGCCGGCCCGGCCTCCAGGCCTCCAATCTCCAAGCTGCGGAAAACCCACCGCCACCTGCGGCTTTCCCTTTCCATTCGGCCCTGTGGGGAGCCAGGCTTCCCGGGCCGCGTTCCTCCTGTGAGAACTGGCCCCCCGCCCCCATTCCCAGATCCAGGCTGCCTCTCCAGGTAGCCACGATTTCATTCCTCGCTCCCCACAGGCCCCTCTCCCCAAAATGTTCCCATTCTTGTCCTAGCCCCTCCCCCAGACGATCTCAAGGACCCGCTGTCCCCACGCCCCGACCACCACCAGGCCTGTGCCTCCCGCTGCCTACAGGAAGACGCCCGGTCCCGGGCCGGGTTAGCCCCGTGGGAACGGTTTGTCTCGAAAACAGGAACCCGGGCTGGGGGCTGGGCGGGGCGCCCCTTCCCCACCGCAGTCCGCTTCCTGCCCCTCCCGGCTTCCTCCGCCCGACACCCAGGCAGGGCGGGGGGCACTGGGGCGTTAGGGTGGGGGGAGGGGCTCTTCGTTTGGGTCCCCCCTCCGCGTCCCGCGGGGCCTGGTCTCCGCTCGCCTACCCTTGGGGCAGCCAGTGGCGCAGCCCCCAGCCCACTGCCCTGGCCTCCGGGGCGGCGCGGCAGAGGAGGGGCTAAGCTGCCGCAGAGACCGCCGCTTGCGGGGCGAGAGGGAGCCCCCAGTGGGGGAGGCGCAGCCGGTGGTGCGGAGCCCGGCGCAGGGGCGGAGAGGGGAGGGGGCGGCCCGGCGCGGGGGCGGGGCGGCGGGGAGCGGGGCCGCGGCGCGGAAAGCGGGCGGGAGCCGCAGCCGCAGCGAGGCCGGCGGGCGGGAGCGCACGGAGGTGGGGCCGGTCGGGCCGGTGCGGGCTCCTTGCGGCAGGTCCCAAGAGTGAGTGAGCGAGCTCGGGCGGGGCTCCAGGCAGAGGAGGGCGCCCCCAGGGACCCCCACCGGGGCGGCGCAGGCGGGTTGGGGGCGGCGCGCGGGTGGGGAGTCTGCGGCCAGGGTCGGGAGAGGAGCAGTGGCCACGAGAGCTGAGGCGCGCTAGACCCCCCGGAGGGCGGGGGACCTCCTCGGCGCACCAGGCTTTTCCCAGCCAAGTCCCAGCGGGGCCCTCCCCCGCGAACCCCCATTTGACAGATGAGAAAATTGAGGCTCCGAGAGGCAAAGTGATTCTCAAGGTCACACGAGGAAGCGGCAGAGCCAGGCGGGGACGGCTCTGGGTGGCTCCTAGGAAAAGTCCACCTAAGAACTCAGTCCTGGAGCTCCCCGGTCTTCCAGCCGAGGGTGGGGGGAGTCTGTGTAGGGCTGGGGTACCTTTCCGTGGGGCAAGGCTCTGCCAAAATCTGGAAGTGAGGGGAGTCAGGACGCTGGGGCCGCAGGGCGGGGCTTGTACCGCAAATGGGAGGGGGGCGACGGAATGGGCGTGCGCACCCACGGGGGTGTGTGCATGTGTGTGGGAGTGTACATGCGTGGAGAGGCACTGCCTTGCGTGTGTGCACACGTGTGAGGATGTCAGCGCCGCTGTGGCCGCGGGACTCGAGGCTGGCCTGGCTCAAGTGAACAGCGGGTCCAGAAGGCGACCTCGTCTGCGGGTTTGCATTCTGGGGTAGACAGCTGGGTATGTGTTCCTGAGGGTTCCTTCGTGCAGGTGTGCCCAGGGCGTCGGTGCCATTGTGTGTGGGAGACTGAGGATGGGAGGCCGGTGCCTGTGGCCCGGTGCGTGTAAGTGCGGGCGCCTGCATCTCCACGTAGGTCCTGGGCCTCCGACGAATAACTTGGGTGTGGAGAGAGTGTTTGCCCCTGCCAGGATACGTATGACCCCGCCAGTGACCGGAGTTGCTAATGGTGTCATACACGCACCGGCCACCCCCGGCGCGAGCGCCCCCCTCTGGACACCCTGCTTCTTGCGCGCTCACAGTTCGCCTGTACGCGGGGGGCCGGGGCTGGGGTCAGGAGCAGGGATAGGGAGGAAGATGGCCTGTGGACGAGCTGAGCTGGGAGCCCTGGGACCTTTGCAGTGGTGGCCAGGGAGCGCTCAGTTCCCAGGCTCAGTCTTCCCGCTGACGCCTCCTGGTCGCAGCGGGCTCCCCCCGCCCTAGGAATGTTCCTCTCCCATCTAGTCCGCCTCCCCTAGGACAGGCCCCTGGGGGCCGCCATAACCCCGCCTCGCCTTCCCGGGCTCCCGAGAGGGGGCGAGGCGGGCAGGACGCCTGGGTTCTCTCCTCCCCCTCCCATCCCAGGGAGAAATTCCTCCGAGGTCCCCTCAGGCTCTGGGTTCCCAAAATAACCCTGCGGGGGAAGGGAGGCTGTGGAGGGAGGGAAGCGGGTGGGGCACAGAGCGGAGCTTCGGGGTGCTGCAGGTGCCTCTGGGGAGAGGGCGCGAGGAGAAGGGGGCCTGCGGGGCCTGGGGTGCCAGCCAGCCCTGGGATCCTGGCTCGTCCCCATCCTTGTGAAGCCCTTCGGCCCTTCCGGGACTCCAAGGGTAGGCCGGAAGCCTCTCGGCGGGTTCGTTTCCCAACTGGAGGGTTGCACCATCCCGGGCCAAACCGTTTAACCCCGGGAGTGGCCGCGGTGGACAACTCCGCCCCTGCCCAGCAGGGGGCGTGCCTGCCCCGCCCCGTTCCTGCCCGCAGGGCCGCTCCCGCGCCCGCGCCTCCGCAGACTCCCGCTCTGCCTCTCCCGGGACAGGGGTTCGGTCCGAGCCCGGTGGGAGGCTCCGGGAGCGCAGCTTGGGCCCAGGCCACCCCGCACCAGCGGCCATGGCGGGCACCCTGGACCTGGACAAGGGCTGCACGGTGGAGGAGCTGCTCCGCGGGTGCATCGAAGCCTTCGGTGAGTAGCTAGGGAGGGCACACGGACCTGAGCCCAGCCCGGAGTCTGAGCCTGGGTCCCTGCCTCCCAGGCACCCTCCAAGGTACAGCCCTGGTCCCGACCCACCCAGCTCATCAGCGTGCAGTCTCTAACGAAAGCCTCCTCTGCATCGCAGGGCAGACACGCACGCCCTTCACAGATGAGGTTTCCCTTGTCCAGCCTTCCCCAGCGGCGGCGAAGGGAGGGCCGGGTCCCGGACTCTGACAAATGAGGGGCATTATCAGTCTCCCGGGGGATCCGGAGGAACTTGGTATCTCCGGCCTGAGAGCTGTTTCCGGACAATGGGGGGCGGCTTATCTGGTGAAGGGGTGCCCCTTCCTCCAAGCGCTCAGGAAATGACCTCTGGATTTTTGACCCTGGGGAACCCAGGCTCCTTCCGCCCCAGCTGGTTCCCCTCCGGATGATGGGCGGCTCGGGCGCTCCCCTCCTCCAGTTCTCAGAGCCTGCCTATCCGTCGCCCACCCCACCTTTCCTCTCTAATTTGCCTTCTGCTCTCGGAGACCTGGGCAAGCAGGAGGTGGGCGGGGTCGGGCGTGCACCCGAGGGGCTGACACCGGGCGGGCTGCGGGGTGGGAGTGAGGCCTGGTCGCTGCGGACCCAGCTCAGCCTCTTGTCTTTGACCCTTCCGAGTCAGATGACTCCGGGAAGGTGCGGGACCCGCAGCTGGTGCGCATGTTCCTCATGATGCACCCCTGGTACATCCCCTCCTCTGAGCTGGCGGCCAAGCTGCTCCACATATATCCTTCGCCGGCCTTGCCAAGGCGCCCGCCGTCGGAGCCCATGCTCAGCCCCTCTGACCAGCCCAGGCTCAGAATCAGCCTGGCCCCTAAGCATAGGCCGCTTCTTATCCCAGAGCTCAGGCATCCCCCAGCCTCCAGCTAGGGCCCAGGCTCTGCCCCCTCCTCACTCACCCCTGGTGACCCCGCTTTGCCCCCAGGCTCTGTCCCCAGCAGAGCCCTTGCCCTCCTCCTGAGTCTAGGGCCTGCCCCAGCTCCAGGCCCGGTCTACCTCCTGCATCTCTCTCAGAGCCTGGCTCTGCTCTCAGCCTTCCTCCGCACCTCATCCTTTACCCCCACCTCCAATCCCCCCAGAGTGCAGGCCTCACCCCCAGCATCCCACCTGAGAGCAGGCCCCATCCCTAGAACTCCTAGAGCCAGGCCCCGCCCCCAGCCTCCATCCACTTAGGCCTCCCTTTCTAGAGTTAGGCGGCCTCCTTAACTCTCTCCTTTACCTACCAACAATCCCGGAAGGACAACTCCAATTCCCTGCAGGTGAAAACATGCCACCTGGTCAGGTGAGTCTTTCCCCAGGGCTCTGGCTCCTCCCCATTCTCCCTTCTCTCTGGCTTCAGGCTGGCCTGAAGGAGGGGGCAGGGTGCTGCGCTTCTGGGAGTGGGTTTGAACCCTGGTTTGTCCGGGTGGGCTGGGCTGCCACAGGCTCACCCCTTCATGGGTCTGGACCTTCCATTTCTTTTCTGCGCAGTGCGGGTGGTTGTCTCAAGGGTCTCATGTACACTTGGAGAAGGAAAGAGCTGGAACCATAGTTTGAGGCTCCTCCGTGGGTGACTGCAATCTAAAATAGTGCCTTGCAGCCCGCTGGGTGTTGATGGAGGGGCTGTTTTGGGTGACTCCCTGCTCCTCCAGGTACTGGATCTCTGCCTTCCCAGCGGAGTTTGACTTGAACCCAGAGCTCGCTGAGCAGATCAAGGAGCTAAAGGCTCTGCTAGACCAAGAAGGGAACCGGCGGCACAGCAGCCTCATCGACATAGACAGCGTGTGCGTGGGGGGAGCAGAGAGGGCTGGGGGCACTCACTATTCTATACCATCTTTGCTTAATAAATGTCTGTTGAATTGAATGAGTGAGGGTCATGTCACTCTCTCGCTTAAAACCTTCCATGGCTCCATATTGCCTTCAATATGCCTCCTCTGGGCAGCCTTGGTGTTTGTGCCTCATCTTCCACTGCCCACTGCCATTCCCACACACCTCCTCCTGCAGCCGAGTGGGTCCCCTCCCCATGGCCTGAGTTCCAGAGTCCTTTCCCACCATGGTGCTCTGTTCATATCATCCCCTTGCTGCCTCCTCCATGTTACCAAGCCTCAGCTCAGGCATGAAGTCTTCATGGGCTCTGAGGGTTCAGGGCTCTTCCAGGGTAGAATTTGTCATTGCCTCCTCTGTTCTCCATGGCACTTTGTACAGAGTCCTGTACAAAGACCTCTGTACATGTGTCACGCTGTTTTGTGATCATATGTTTCTGTGTCTGTCTCCCTCAGTAGACTGTGAGCTCCTCGAGGGCAGGAACCGTTGTCTTACTCATCTCTGTATTCCCAGCGCCTAGCACAGTGCCTGGCACAGAGTACGTTGTTCACAAACGTGTGTTGAGTGCATGACGGGGTGTGAGGAGAGGTGGAGGAGTTCCTGGGACTGGGAACATTTGTGCCTAGGACAGTGCCTCACATTGTGTAGGTGTAGGTCCTCAGTCAGCATGAATGGCGTGTCCGTGTGAGCGGGGGATCACGAGCAATGCACGTGTTCAGCAAAGGGCTCACTCCCCCTGTCCCTACAGCCCTACCTACAAGTGGAAGCGGCAGGTGACTCAGCGGAACCCTATGGGACAGAAGAAGCGCAAGATGTCCCTGTTGTTCGACCACCTGGAGCCCCTGGAGCTGGCGGAGCATCTCACCTACTTGGAGTATCGCTCCTTCTGCAAGATCCTGGTGCGGCCCAAGGGTGGGAGTCAGGGGTCCAGGGTGGGCTGGAAGGGGGTTTTGGAGGGGCAGGGTCCCTGGAGTAGGCTGGGTCACAGGGTTCATCAGGGGTTTCAGTGTAACCGAAGGATGGCTGGAGGGTGAGGAGTGGCCACTGGTGAGCGGGGAGGTTGGGAAGGGGCTGAGGCCACTCCTCCTGCCTCCAGTTCCAGGACTATCACAGTTTTGTGACTCATGGCTGCACTGTGGACAACCCTGTCCTGGAGCGGTTCATCTCCCTCTTCAACAGCGTCTCACAGTGGGTGCAGCTCATGATCCTCAGCAAACCCACAGCCCCGCAGCGGGCCCTGGTCATCACACACTTTGTCCACGTGGCGGAGGTGCCTGCCCCTCCCTCCCTGTGTCTCCCAACTCTCCCCACATGCCAGTCAGGCCAACCCTTCCTTTCCCCTAAGCCATTGCCTTCTCTCCAGAAAGGCTAGGCCAAATTCTGGGCCCACTCAGTGACTCCCTGCCTCTCCTCCCCATTTGCCTTGCAGAAGCTGCTGCAGCTGCAGAACTTCAACACACTGATGGCAGTGGTCGGGGGCCTGAGCCACAGCTCCATCTCCCGCCTCAAGGAGACCCACAGCCATGTTAGCCCTGAGACCATCAAGGTGCCTAGGACTGGGGAGCGGCTGCTGCTTCCCGGATCTGCCTTCACTGGGTCCACCCAGCAGCACTGGGGGCTGGACACAACTGTCCTCATTTGACAGATGTGGAAACAGGCTCAGAGGGGTTCAGTGCTTTTCCCAGTTTGCACAATGGCAGCAGCAGAGTAGGGACTCAGGTTGTCCTGGACCCCAAAGCTTAATTTTTTTTTTTTTTTTAAGACGGGTTCTCTGTTGTCCAGACTGGAGTGCAGTGGTGCAACCACAGCTCACTGCAGCCTTGAACTCCTATGCTCAGTGAATCCTCCCACCTCAGCCTCCTGAGTAGCTGGGACTACAGGTGTATGCTGTCATGCTTGGCTAATTTTTGTATTATTATTATTATTATTTTTCTGAGATGGAGTTTTGCTCTTGTTGCCCAGGCTGGAGTGCAATGGCTTGATCTTGCCTCACCACAACCTCCATCTCCTGGGTTCAAGTGATTCTCCTGCCTCAGCCTCCTGAGTAGCTGGGATAACAGGCATGTACCACCATGCCCAGTTAATTTTGTATTTTCAGTACAGATGGGGTTTCTCCACGTTAGTCAGGCTGGTCTCAAACTCCCGACCTCAGGTGATCCACCTGCCTCAGCCTCCCAAAGTTCTTGGATTACAGGCGTGAGCCACTGCGCCCGGCTTTATATTATTATTCTTATTATTTTTGTAGAGATGGGCTTTTGCCACAATACCCAGTCTGGTCTCGAGCTCCTTGGCTCAAGTGATCCACCTGCCTTGGCCTCCCAAAGTGCTGAGGTTATGGCATGAGCCATTGCGCCTTGCTACTTTTCCTTCTCTTTCATTTATTATTATTTTTGAAGTACTGAATAATATACATGTCGAAAAGTCTGTAAAAATATATGAGGCCAAGTGTGGTGGCTTACGCCTGTAGTCCCAGTGCTTTGGGAGGCCGAGGGGGGCGGATCACTTGAGGTCTGGAGTTGTAGACCAGCCTGGCCAACATGGTGAAACCCCATCTCTACTAAAATACAAAACTTAGCTGGGTGTGGTGGTGCGCCTGTAATCCCAGCTACTTGGGAGGCTGAGGCAGGGGGAGAATTGCTTGAACCTGGGAGGTGGAGGTTGCAGTGAGCCAGGACTGCATCATTGCGCTGCAGCCTGGCCGACAGAGTGAGACTCTGTCTCAAAAAAAGAAAAGTATATAAAAACATACGAATAGGCTGGGTGTGGTGGCTCACCCCTGTAATCCCAGCACTTTGGGAGGCCAAGGTGGGCAGATCATGAGGTCAAGAGATCGAGACCATCCTGGCCAACATGGTGAAATCCTGTCTCTACTAAAAATACAAAAATGATCTGGGTGTGCTGGCAGGTGCCTGTAATCCCAGCTACTCAGGACGCTGAGGCAGGAGAATCACTTGAACCTGAGAGGCAGAGGTTGCAGTGAGCCAAGATTGCACCTCTGTATTTTGGCCTGGCGACAGAGCAAGACTTCATCTCAAACAGACCAACAAACAAACCATATGAATAGTTTAAAGAAAAATTGTAAAGAAAATGCTGTGTAACTACTGGCAGGTTGGGAAATAGAATCTTCCCAGGACCCAAAGCGCCCAGCACCTTAGAGCATAGCTCCCTCCCCGAGATTTTGCCATGACGATCTTGCTTTTCTTTATAGCTTCACCACCTAGGTATTCAGCCCAAAACAATGTGGGCTTTTTGTCGTCTGTTCTGAACTTTCTATGAATGGAATGTTGTTTGTGTTATTGTATGTCTTGCTTCTTTCATTCCACATGGTTCTGAGAGTCTTTTCATTCTGTTATGTGGAGCAATTGTTTTTTTCATTTTCATTGCCATATAATATTTTATTGTAAGTCTACCTCAGTTTATTTATTTATTTATTTATTTATTTGAGACAGAGTCTCACTCTGTTGCCCAGGCTGGAGTGCAGTGGGATCTCAGATCACTGTAGCCTCCACTCCCAGGTTCAAGTGATTCTTGTGCCTCACACTCCCAAGTAGCTGGGATTACAGGCTTGCACCACCACGTCTGGCTAATTTTTTGTATTTTTAGTAGAGACAGCGTTTCACCATGTTGCCGAGGCTGGTCTCCAACTCCTGAGCTCGAGCAGTCGGTCCACTTTAGCCTCCCAAATTGTTGGGATTACAGGCGTGAGCCACCACGCCTAGCCTACCCCAATTTATGTATTGATTCTATTGTTGAATGTTGGGATTTTTCCAGTTTTTTTTTTTTTAGATGGAGTTTTGCTCTTAGTGCCCAGGCTGGAGTGCAATGGTGTGATCTTGGTTCACCACAGCCTCTGCCTCCTGGGTTCAAGTGATTCTCCTGCCTCAGCCTCCTGAGTAGCTGGGATTACAGGTGCCGGCCACCACACCTGGTTAATTTTGTATTTTTACTAGAGACAGGGTTTCTCCATGTTGGTTAGGCTGGTCTCGAACTCCTGACCTCAGGTGATCCACCCGCCTCAGCCTCCCAAAGTGCTGGGATTACAGGCGTGAGCCACTGCGCCCAATGGGTTTTTCCAGTTTGGACAGGGCAGCTGAGTACCTTCTTCCAGGTCATTGTCCTTGCCTCCCTGAGCCTCTGTTTATTTTTCTGTTAAATGTTGATGATACCCTGCATCCAGACCTGGTTTAGAGGTGGGGTGTGTTTGGCAGTGGGTATTGCCTTGAATTCATGGCAGTGGATTCAACCCCAGGGGCTGAGAGAGCCAGTTCTGGGGGAGAGTAAGGGAGGATTTTACTCTTTCCCTTGTCTCTGACCCTGTCCCTGACCCTGACTCCAAGGCTGAGGTGAGGAGGATAGCTGGAGGGGTTATGACCCTATGCCTTTTGTTCCCCAGCTCTGGGAAGGTCTCACAGAACTAGTGACTGCGACAGGCAATTATGGCAACTACCGGCGCCGTCTGGCGGCCTGTGTGGGTTTCCGCTTCCCCATCCTGGGTGTGCATCTCAAGGACCTGGTGGCCCTGCAGCTGGCACTGCCTGACTGGCTGGACCCAGCCCGGACCCGGCTCAACGGGGCCAAGATGAAGCAGCTCTTTAGCATCCTGGAGGAGCTGGCCATGGTGACCAGCCTTCGGCCACCAGTACAGGCCAACCCTGATCTGCTCAGCCTGCTCACGGTGAGGAGCAAGGGGCAGGGAGGTGGGGAGCTGGGCACCAGGGGCTGACAGTTCCTGAGGGTCCTAGCTGTGGGCGTGGCCTGGGGCTCTGGGTTCTGGCCAGGAACTGAGGTCTGGCCTGGGCTCTGGGGATTGGAGTGGATGCTGAGGAGGGCTTCAGGCTCTGGTCTGTGGACTGAGGTCTGATCTCCAGGCTGGCATGTGGACTGTGGCAGTTTGAGCTGGGCCTGAGTCCCGGGTTAAGTTCTGACAGTGAGTTGTGTTCTAGGGCTGGGCTAAGCTCTGTGTTCTGTGGGCTGGGGTGGTTTCTAAGCATGGCCCCAGCTCGGAGTGAAGTTCTGGGCTTGGCTTTGCACTTGGTCTTGGGGTCTAGGGTGGGAGTTACATTCTGGTTTAGATCCAGATGAGGTTCTAGACATTGGGCTGGGGCTTAGGTATTAGGGTTTGGAGTGGGCTCTTAGCTGCTTCTGGGCTCTGGACGGGATCAGGGTTGAAATCAGAGCTTGTGGCTGGGTTCTGACCTGGTTTCTTCGCTGAGATCTTGGCAATATTTGTGTTCAATGTTTGGGTCCACGCTGTGGTCTGATCTGTGTGCTGGGACGGCGTGCGGTTGCTGTGTGCTGTGTTCTAAACCAGGCTTTGTCTTGAGTCTAGCTTCTGACTCTAGCTCTGGGCTGAGCTGTGGCCTCTAGGTAGAACTTTGGCCCTGGGGTCTGTGGCTGCGGGCAGAGGCCAGTGGGTGTGATGAGACCTGTGTGTCCCAGGTTTCTCTGGATCAGTATCAGACGGAGGATGAGCTGTACCAGCTATCCCTGCAGCGGGAGCCGCGCTCCAAGTCCTCGGTGAGAGGGGACTTCCTCCTCCCCACTCTGCCTCTCCCTCCTGAGAATCCCAGGATGTGAGGACAGGAAGAGCTCTTAGCAGCCACCTCACTCATCCTTCTTGAAGGACAGAGGCATCCTGGGGGGGGTGGGCAGTGGTCTTGGGCAGTCTTCCCTCTCCCAGGGATTCCCCTTCCTGTTCCCCTGGGCTCTGGGTTCCCTCTGCCTCTGGCCCTAGCTCAGGCCTGACCATTTCCATAGCCAACCAGCCCCACAAGCTGCACCCCGCCACCCCGGCCCCCGGTGCTGGACGAGTGGACCTCGGCTGCCAAACCCAAGCTGGATCAGGCCCTCGTGGTGGAGCACATCGAGAAGATGGTGGAGGTGAGCTCCCAAGGAGCCTGAGCAGTGTGGCGGCAAGAGCCCAGTTTGCCGGAGCACTGCCCTGGGAGCCAGCATGAGTGTTCTGTTCAAGACCCAGCACTCAGCCCCCAGGAGTCACAGGGCCTGGCAGGCCAGCTTCATGGGGCTGAGGCACCCATGGGTAGGGCGGGGGTATGGAATGGGGGCAGTGTTGGAGACCTCTCTGAGACACACCTCATCACAGGGACTGGGAACATGGGAAGGGACAGGACCTGACGTCCCCTTTACTCTCCCCTCTCCTGGCTCTGTGTGTCCCTCTGTGTGCCCCAGTCTGTGTTCCGGAACTTTGACGTCGATGGGGATGGCCACATCTCACAGGAAGAGTTCCAGATCATCCGTGGGAACTTCCCTTACCTCAGCGCCTTTGGGGACCTCGACCAGAACCAGTGAGGAGGGTTGGGGGCCTGGGGGAGAGGGAAGGCAGCCCAGCCTACTTCCGCCTGGGCTTCAGTTTCCTGTGTGCAAGATGAGGCCACTGAGCCAGATGATCTTGGCCTGGGAAACTGCCAGTGTGGGAAGGGGCGCTTCCTTTTGTGGGGAGGAGAGGCTACCAGCTGTGAAGGCCCAGTGGTATCTCCTGGATTCAGACAAATGGGCGGGGGGCTCCACCCGAGTCTTGGTGGCCTGGGGACTGTGGCTATAGAAGTGCTCACAGCTCACAGCTGTCAAGAAGTATGGGCAAGTCGAGCTCCTGGATAGCTTGTTTTAATGAATAGATAAGAAAGGTTTGTAATCAGCAGCACCCACTTGCGTATCAACAATTCATATGTGGACAATTTGGAAAAACAGCTGGTTCTCTGAAGTAGGTTAGACATGCCCTCTGCAGCCGTATTCATGCCCTATTTTTGCTAAGCAGACAAAGCTCTATTCAAAATTTACAGTCCATCTCAGGTCGATTTATTTTTTAATGTTACCTGTATTTCAAAAATCTGTTGTTTTTTATTTGCTCATTACAGAAATCCATGGTAAAATAAAATGTAGGTAGTAAAATAAATTTATAGTGAGCACAGTGTTTAAAGTAAGAAGTGAGAGTCCAGGCATGGTGGCTCATGCCTGTAATCCTAGCACTTTGGGAGACTGAGGTCAGAGGATCGATTGAGGCCAGGAGTTCAAGCCCAGCCTAAGCAACATAGGAAGACTCTGTCTCTACCAAAAAGAATAATAATAATAATAATCATTATTTCTGAGACAGAGTCTCACTCTGTCGCTCAGGCTGGAGTGTAGTGGCACAGTCTCAGCTCACTGCATGGAGATGGGTGGTATGTGCCTATAACTCAGGAGGCTGAGGCAGGAGGATCCCTTGAGCCCGGGAGGTTGAGGCTGCAGTGAGCTATGATCACGCCACTGCACTTCGGCCTCGGTGGCTGAGTGAGACCACCCCATCAAAAAACCCGAAAAAGCAAAAACAGGAAGAAATGAAAGTTTCCTGTCTTCTGTTCCACTGGCAGAAGTTGCCATGATTAAACACACTGTGAACAATATTAAGCTTGGCAGCATGTGGGTCTTTTTTCCCAGGCATGTGCACATTGACAGAGATTTTGTTTGTTTGGTGTCCGTTTCATGGACAAACAGGATTAGAGTATAAATCCAGTTCTGCTTGTGGCTTTTATCATAGCTGCTTTATTTCTCCTCCTAGAGTTTAGGCAGAGGTAGTTGAGTTCCATGTTATCTCCCTAGGTTGGTGGGTGGATTTTTATCTAGACCACTGAAAAGTGAGGACGACCGTTTGAGACCTTGAAGGCCTTGGCTTTATGCAGCAGCCTCAGCCTTAACCCTCCACCTCCTGCAGGCCCCAGGCCCTTTGTGTGTGTGTGTGTGTGTGTGTGTGTGTGTGTGTGTGTGTTGGTGAGGGGGAAGCCCTGGTTGGGTGTCAAAACCTAGCACTGGTTCAGCAGGAGGGAGACCAGCACCCACCCCCAGGACCAGTCCCGGCTCACCGCTTCATTGTAAAGCTCCCTCTTTGTTTCTGGAATTTGAGGGTTTTCATTTCTTTCTTATAAAATTATCTATGCATTTATAGCAATTGTTGATATATCTTCTTTTTTTTTTTTCGAGATGGAGTTTTGCCCTTGTTGCCCAGGCTGGAGTGTAATGGTGCGATCGTGGCTCACCACAACCTCCACCTCCTGGGTACAAGCAATTCTCCTGCCTCAGCCTTCCGAGTAGCTGGGATTACAGGTGCCCCCAACTATGCCTGGCTAATTTTTGTATTTTCAATAAGGACAGGTTTCCACCATGTTGGCCAGGTTGGTCTAGATCTCCTGACCTCAGGTGATCCACCTGTCTCGGCCTCCCAAAGTACTGGGATTACAGGCGTGAGCCGCCAGGCCTGGCCTTTTGTTGATATATCTTTAACCAGTTTCCAGGTACTTGTAGTAGCGGGCTTTTCTTTTTTATTTTTTCTTTTTTTTTTTGAGACAGAGTTTCACTCTTGTTACCCAGACTGGAGTGCAATGGCATGATCTCGGCTCACTGCAACCTCCGCCTCCTGGGTTCAGGCAATTCTCCTGCCTAAGCCTCCTGAGTAGCTGGGACTACAGGCACGCGCCACCATGCCCAGCTAATTTTCGTATTTTTAGTAGAGACGGGGTTTCACCTTGTTGACCAGGATGGTCTCGATCTCTTGACCTCGTGATCCACCCGCCTCGGCCTCCCAAAGCGCTGGGATTATAGGCATGAGCCACCGCGCCCGGCCCTCTTTTCCTTTTTTTAAAATCACCATCTTTTTTTTGAGACAGAGTCACTCTGTTGCTCAGGCTGAAGTGCAGTGGTACTATCTTGACTCACTGCAACCACTGCCACCCAGGTTCAAGCAATTCTCCTGCCTCAGCCTCGCCAGTAGCTGAGATTACAGGCATGCACCACCACGCCCAGCTAATTTTTGTATTTTTAGTAGAGATGGGATTTCACCATGTTGACCAGTCTGGTCTCGAACTCCTGACCTCACCTCGGGTGACCCACCCACCTCTGCCTCCCGAAGTGCTGGGATAGAGGCATGAGCCACCACGCCCAGCCTAAAAACCATCTCGACAGAACTACATGCCTTTTTTTTTTGTCTTCGTTCTTGCTTTCTACTTACCCCTTGATCACAGACATCTTTCCATGTGGGTTAAGGTAGAACTCCCCCATTCATTAGAACAGCTGCAGAGGATTCACTGCGAGGCTAGACCAGCACTGACCTAACCATCCTCCTGCCGATGCACATGTAGACTCTTGCAGCTTTCAGTACGATTATGCACCAGGCTGCCGTGAACGTCCTTTTACTGACCCACTCAGGCCAGTATTTCTGTAGGAGAAATTCCTAGAAGTGGGATAATTGGATCAAAAGATATGCACATTCTAAATTAGGAGAGAGACTGCCAAACTGACCTCAGACAAGGTTGTACCAGTTTGCACCCCCATCAGCAGCGTACAAGTGCCTGCTTCCCAACTTCCTCGCCAACAGTGGATGCTATAAAAAGCTTCACAATTTTGCCAGTCTTCCTGGCAAATGGTATCTTGGTTAAATTTGCATTTCTTTAATACTAATGGGGGTAGGGTATCTTTTCGTATGTTTATTGGCCATGTATTTCTTCTGTCAATTGCCTGTTCAGATTCCTTGTCCATTATTCTACTGGGTTTGTTGGTCTTTTTCTCATTGATTTTTAGAATCTCTGTTAATGGATGTTAACCCTTTGCTGTTGAATGTGTTTGCAAATATTTTCTCCCTGTCTGTCATTTATGTTGTCTTTTTCCACATAAAATTGAAAAACTTTTGTGTGTTCAATATGTCAGTCTTTTCCTTTATGGCTTCTCAGATTTATGTTCTGTGTAGAAAGGCCCTCAGCCCCTCAAGATTATACAATTATTATATCTTTTTTTTTCTTTTTTTTTTTTGAGACAGGGTCTCTCACTATGTCACCCAGGCTGGAGTGCAGGGGCATGATCTTGGCTCGTAACAACCTCTACCTCTCAGGTTCAAGCAATTCTCGTGCCTCAGCCTCATGAGTAGCTGGATTATAGGCACGTGTCACCAGGCCTGGCTAATTTTTGTATTTTTAGTAGACGGGGTTTTGCCATGTTGGCCAGACTGGTCTCAAACTCCTGACCTCAGTGATCTGACTGCCTCAGCCTCCCAAAATGCTGGGATTATAGGTGTGAGCCACTGTGGCCGTTCTGTCTTACATCTTTTCAGTTAATTTTGTAATTTTATTTTTTACATGAGTGTTTGTATAAAGTCCAGTGAGAATTTAGTTTTCATGCACAGTGTGAAGGAAGAATGTAGGCTTATATATTTTTCATTTTCTTTTTTTCTCTTCTTGCTCTGTGGCCCAGGCTGGAGTATAGTAGTCAGCTCTTGGCTCAGTGTAAGCTCCGCTTCCTGAGCTCAACTATTCTCCTGCCTCAGCCTCCTAAGTAGCTGGGACTACAGGCGCCAGCCATCATGCCTGGCTAATTTTTTTTTTTTTTTAGTAGAGATGGGATTTCACCATATTGTCCAGGCTGGTCTCAAACTCCTGACCTCATGATCGGCCAGCCTCTGCCTCCTGAAGTGCTGAAATTACAGGCGTGAGCCACTGTGCCCCGCCCTATATTTTTTCTAAATGGCCAGTTATCCCAATGCTCCCTTGATTTGGAGGACCACCTGGATTATACATTATGAGCCCCCTCATACAGCAGGTGGCAGTGTCAAATGAGGGCCAGTCGATGGGAAATAGCACCTGGTGGCTGAGGACTTTGCTGTCTGTGCGGACACTGTTGTAAGCACTTGACGTGCGTTATCTAATTTAATCCTCACAAAAATCCTATGAAACGTAAGAATGATCATTATACCCATTCATAGATAAGGAAAGCGAGGCACAGGGAGACGACCCAGCTGCGGTTCAAGAGGCAGGGAAGCAGAGCTGCGATTTGAACCAAGGTCTAGAACACATGCTCATTCTTTCCCTAAAATGTACTCAAAGGTGAAGAGGGGCTTCTGCAGAAAGCCCTGGGCTATGTGGGAAACCCTGGATTTACAGGGCTCTTTCCAGCACGATGATGCAAGAGTGAAAGGGATGCGCGTTTTCCCAATCTCTCCTGGTCCCAGAACTCGTTACAGCTCAGGGCTCCCGACTGGTGTTGCACAGTACACTTCGGGAGCCCGAGACTGATGGTTCCATGGAAAGTACACAGTCCTTTTAGTTTACATACCAAGTGGTGAAGTGGGCAGGGCAGGCCACTCTTCTGAGAAGGAAAAGGGACAGGTCCAAGACCACACACTGGTAGGTGGCAGTTCCCACATCTGCCTGACCCCTAGTTCAGAATGCCCTTGGACTAGTCCTAGTACTCTGCTCTAGAAGTCCAAAATCAGGAGTTCCATGAGAACCTTTGATTTGGTAGGGGGTTTCCCAGTGGGATGGGTTAGGCCAGCGGTGGGCGGTCCTGGGGAGGACCCGAGCTGAGGCGCCGACCCTCCACAGGGATGGCTGCATCAGCAGGGAGGAGATGGTCTCCTATTTCCTGCGCTCCAGCTCTGTGCTGGGGGGCCGCATGGGCTTCGTACACAACTTCCAGGAGAGCAACTCCTTGCGCCCGGTCGCCTGCCGCCACTGCAAAGCCCTGGTGAGCGCCCCTTTCCCGGCTCACTGTCCAAGCCACGCCCCTGTAGCCCCGGCCCCGCCCTCCCTTCGAGCCCCACCTCTGCGGGAGCCTTTCTCAACCCAGGCAAACATGGTTAATTCCACCTCCCTCTCCTCCTGCTGTTCTGCCCCGGGCCCTGAGGCGGGCTCTAAAGCCCCAGTCCCACCCTCAAGAAGGAAGAAGCAGAGCCATCACCTCTAAATCCGTCCTCCCACCACGGCCCCTCCTCTATTGCAGATCCTGGGCATCTACAAGCAGGGCCTCAAATGCCGAGGTGAGCTGGAATGACTGGCAGGGCTGCTGGACCGTGTTTTCTTTTTGGGAGAGTTACTATTTTGGTGGGGCAATTGCTTAGGAGTGAAGTACCTTAAAATCAGAGGCACATGGCTGGGCATGGTGGCTCACGCCTGTAATCCCAGCACTTTGGGAGGCCGAGGTGGGCGATCATCTGAGGTCAGGAGTTTGAGACCAGCCTGGCCAACATGGTGAAACCCCACCTCTACTAAAAATACAAAAATTAGCCAGGTGTGGTGGTAGGCACCTGTCATCCCAGCTACTTGGGAGGCCGAGGCAGGAGAATTGCTTGAACCTGGGAGGCAGAGATTGCAGTGAGCTGAGATCGCACCATTGCACTCTAGCCTGGGGGACAAGAGTGAGACTTTGTCTCAAAAAAACAAACAAACAAAACAGAACACAAAAACCCACAAAATCAGAGGTGCAAGATGATCCATGTGAAGGGAGTGGCCTTTAAGAGGCCATTTATTTTGGCGAGGCATCTGCCCAGGAAGAGAGAACGTGGGTTGGGAGAGGGAGTAGACTAACAATTACGAGAATGAGAACACTTTGGAAGGGGACTTTTATTCTGGTGGGGCAGCTGCTCAGGAACAAACGTCCCTGGGGAGGGGTGCATGCCTGTGGGATGGGATGGAGGGTTTTCTGACCAATGGCCCTGACTGGGCTCTCCATTTGCCCTCCCCCAGCCTGTGGTGTGAACTGCCACAAGCAGTGCAAGGATCACCTGTCAGTGGAGTGTCGACGCAGGGCCCAGAGTGTGAGCCTGGAGGGGTGTGCACCCTCACCCTCACCCACACACAGCCACCATCACCGCGCTTTCAGCTTCTCCCTGCCCCGCCCTGGCAGGCGAGGCTCCAGGCCTCCAGGTAAGAGGGAGTCATCTGCACCCTGTGGAGGGAGGGATGCAAAGCCATTGTGGCAGAGTATTAACTGATGCAGGATGGAAGCCATTCCAAAGCGCGTAATTCTCTTTTTGTGGTGGGACAATAAAGAAGGGACAGGTAAGGGTGCCAGAAAGTGGCCAGAGAGCCCTGGATCTTCCAGGCTGAGGTGAGAGACCCTCATTTTTTTTTTTTGAGTTGGGGTTTCACCATGTTGATTAGGCTGGTCTCAAACTTCTGACCTCAGGTGATCCACCCATCTCAGCCTCCCAAAGTGCTGGGATTACAGGCGTGAGCCACTGCGCCCAGCCAAGACCCTAATTTATAAAGAGGTATAAAAGTGAAAGAGGCTTCAAGATTCCAGTTACAGCCTTATTTTGTTGGCATGATTAATGAAGGGTTGGAGAAGTTGTTATGTGAGCCATTGGCTTGCCTTTCCCTTTTTCCGCTGCTCTGGAGGCTCTTCTGAGAAAATATCCCTTGCCCTGATAATGCCCTGGAGGCTCTCTTGGGGTCTTTGGTGGTTTTAGGTCAGTTTGCTGAATGGCAATAGGCCAAATGATTATTTTGCTGGGAACACTCTGAACAACTAAAGTTAAACTAGGGTCTAAGGTAGTTGACCACAACCGTTTGGGTTGGCATAAGTCCTTAAAAAGCAGAGGCAGGCACAGGGCATACATCCTCAAAAATAGAAAAGATAAATCTATTTGCATTGAGCCTTCCAGAAGTGCTGGGGTCTAAAATGTAAAATACACACAAAATTGACATTTAAGCAAACAGCGCTGACAAATCTGTGGTTGTGAAAAAGCTGCGGCAAAATGAAAACATAGAAAAAAAGCCTCAAAAACTGGCTGAGCCTGGGTGCGGTGGCTCACGCCTGTAATCCAGCACTTTGGGAGGTGGAGGCGGGTGGATCACCTGAGGCCAGGAGTTCGAGACCAGCCTGGCCAACATGGCAAAACCTTGTCTCTTCTAAAAATACAAAGAAGATCGCTTGAACCTGGGAGGTGGAGGTTGCAGTAAGCCGAGATCGCACCACTGCACTCCAGCCTGTGCGACAAGAGCAAGACTCTATCTCAAAAAAAAAAAAAAATGGGCCTTTAGGTCATGCAGGGAATTGATTTTTGGTGGATGGGTCTGCTACTGGCATGATGTAGATGCCTCTGTGGAGAGGGAAAGGGTTGGGACCTGGGAGTGTATTCTGCAGCAATCCCCTCCCAGCAGAGATCCGTGAGGAGGAAGGACAGACGGTGGAGGACGGAGTGTTTGACATCCACTTGTAATAGATGGTGAGTCCTCCCACAGCTGGCACCAGAGCTCCCCACTGAGGGCTGGGGTATGGGTGGGGAGTATCAGGGAAATGGGTGCTCTATCCAAATGGCCCAAGCCAGGTGGGCGTCTACCTTGTTGTTGGGGGGTGTCTTCCTCACAACCTGTTTTTCTCTTCCCAGCTGTGATTGGATCAAGGACTCATTCCTGCCTGAGAGAAAAGACTTCAACCAGAGCAGGGAGCCTGGGGGTGTTGGGGCAGGAGGCTGGGGCTGGGGGTGGGATTTGAGGGTGGCATGCAGCTGAGGGCAGGGCCAGGGCTGGCATCCCTAAGGTTGTACAGACTCATGTGAATATTTGTATTTGCCAGATGGAATAAAAAGGCCCGTGTAATTAACCTCCACCATCAGCGCCTAGAATCCCAGGGCGGGGGTGGGGGGTGCTATACTTTACAGGATGATAATCTTGGGAGCTAGAACTTTGTAGTCAGAGAAACTTGGGAGGTCTAGAATCTCATGTGTCTGGAATCTTGGAGGAAAGAATCTCAGAAGCAGAAAACCTTGGAACAGAATCTTGGGGAGGGTCTAGGGTCTTGAGGAGGCTGGTTCTTGGACATCTAAAATGTGAAACTAGTAGGTCTTTGCACCTGAATTGCAGGGCCCAGTGGTCATGCATACCCAAAGCCTTCAGCCCACGGCCAAAATTCTGTTGCTGGACAGAGGGTTCTTTCAGGCCCTGCTTAGACACTTCCAGCAACAGGGCCCTCACTGCAGGAATCGTGGGCAGGAAAGGGGCAGTGCAGAGTTGCTGTCTGTGAGGGAAGTGACGGAGGGCCCTGGGCAGTCCTAGGGCCCTGCTGGGCTTGTGCCTGGAGGGGGGGGTCTGCACTCCTCGGTCTTGCAGGCTCCTGGCCTGGTGCTGCTGCCAGCCGGAAGGACAGTGACTTCCAGAGGAAATGCATATTGATCCTGCTCTCAGCCTCCGGTGGCGGCCTCTCCCAACCCAGCTCTTCCCTCCTGAGCCTGCGGCACGGAGGTTTTGGGTGGGGGGAGGTCACTGCTATCTGAAGAAGGCTAAGGCTACTTCTGAGGCTGGTTCTGAACCTGGGCCGGGGTGCCCCTGGGGTCAGGAGACTCCAGACAAAAGTCCTGACAATGGGAGCTACCTCCCCAGTCCCCCAAACTGGGAGATGTCCTGCAGCAGCTGTGGGATTGTACTGGGGGTGGAGACCTGAGCAGTTTTAACTCCAAAGCACAGTATCGTCGGGCCTGTCAGTGGCCTCAGTTCCCCCATGAATGCCCTGGCCCCCCAACCCCAGGGTTTCCCCACATCACACCCATCCCTGCTGTGAGGCCTCACTCCCCTCTGGCCAATTCTTTATTTTGGGCCACTCCCTTCTTCCCAGTTATCTCTCTCCTGAAGGCCTAGCCCATGTTGGGCTCCCCAGCCCTGTCTCTGCATTGGGTGGCCCCCGCCCCTCCTCTGTCCTCAGCCCCCTCCGCCCTTCCCCCATTGAGGCTGTAATATCTGTTTCACGATTTGGGGGCTGAGTTGCTATAACAACAGACGGCGATTGTGTTGTGAAGAGCAGCTTGCTCCTGTGCCGCCTGCCTCCTGTACTGCCTCCATCCCTGCAGCCCAGCCGGCTCCTCTCCTTACCACCCTCCAGTTCCAGTCTGGCCTCTTCCTGGGTGTGTGTGTGTGTATGCATATGTATGTCCAGGTCTGCCCCACCGGGGATGTGATGTGTACCTGTCTTTTCATGATTGCATGTGTCTGAATTTGGTGTCTGGGCTTCGAGTTGTATGTGTCCGTGTGCATGTGTGTGCATGGACATGCATGCTGTATTTGCTGTGTTCTCCTCCCCTATGTGTCCCCACTGGCCCGTGCACACGGGAGAAGGGCATGTGCTCAGCACATCACTCAAGTGTCCACATTGAGTGGGTGCCTGTGTGTGGTGTGTGTGTGTGGGGTGTGTCTTGAAGTGGCAGGTCCCAAATGCTTAGGCGGTCTGAACCTTGGACCTTGCAGAGAGATGGAGAGACGTCCCTGTAGGCAGGAGGGGCAGGGAGGTGCAGCAGCTGCCCGGTGACCTTTTCTGCCCTTGATGGGCAAAGCTGGAAGTGGGGACAGGAGACAACTGCTCATCCTACCTCCCTCCCTGCCCAGCCTCCTCTGTAAGGGTCTGAGTCTGTCTCTGTGAGCCATTGCACCTGTCTGTCTATGCCCTGATGCCTGGGTGGACAAGATTTGTGTGTGTGTGTGTGTGTGTGTGTAGGCTGCAGAAAGAGGAACAGTAGAGGAGGGGCAGGAAAGTGGGCTGTGGGGTCAGAGAGGCGATTTTGCATCTATAGGCCCTGACTCAGCAGTTCTATTCTGTGGCTCCTTCAGTGGCCTTGGTGGGGATGCTCTGAGGGTCTCTTCAAGGTCAGAGTGGGCCCTAAGCCTGGGACCTGGCTCAGGGATCACCCTTCTTAACTTCTAGGAAGCACTTCTTGCAGCCTGGGTCCCCCTCTTACCCCTTCACAGGCTGGGGAAGGAGGTTCCCTCTGCCGGGGGGTTGGTGTCCACATGAATCCACTCAGTAATTGACCACTCTTGGCAAATTGCCTGGGTAGGGGTGCAGGATGATTGTGGGGAGGTCCCCTAGGTGCACCTGTTCTGGGCATGCATTTGCCTGTGTAGGTCCCTGTGTGCACAAGCAGTATGTGCTTCCTGTGGGTGCATGACCATGGCAGGGCATTTCTGCAGGTGTTCTTGTGTGTCTCTGGGAATGCCCAGTGTTCACAGATAGGTGTGCATGGCTGTGAGCTCCCCGATGTGGATGCATTGGTGTTGAATGTGAGTGTTCTTGCACGTTGCTCTGGCTAAGGAAGTGCCAACTACCACCAGCCATGCAGATCACAGACCCTGCAATAGAAATCAGGGTCCTGGAGTGAGCTGGTAGAATGGTCTGGCACGTTTGTGTGATACACACACACACACATGCACACTCTCTCTCTCACTGCTTCATTCAGCAGCCCAGTGACCAACCTTGGGATACGTACACTAGGTATCAGGTGCACCATTTATTGGCAGAGTAAGTGAAGGGTGTCTCCCCAGCCCCCCATACTCATATACACGCACAGTGATGCATGTGCTCTTACAGGAAAGACCTGTGCTCCCCAGTACCACTCTAACTCTGAAACTCGGTGGCTGCTGCCAAGTGCCCTCAGTCACCAGGCATGTGCAGCCGCAACCCCACCCCCACCCCCACACCTACTCTTACCCCTGCCCAGGGCTGCTCCAGGCAGAACTGGGAGTCTGGCCTCAAACTCTGGGATTCCCATGAGGCAGGACTGGGAAACCCCAAGTTCCTAGGTCTACCCCCACCCCATCTCTGCCTTTCCTTCCCCTATTGCCTCCGTCTTTATCCCAGCAAAGCCCCTCCCTCTTACGTTCTGGGGATTCCAAGCCAGGGGCCATCCGGACGGTGGGAGGCGGGGGCCAGGCTACCGGCTGAAAAGAACCCTCGGCTGGAAAAAACCCCCAGCAGCCGCGGACCCACCGGATTCCCCTTCTCTAGGCTCCTCGCAGCCCGGGCCCGCCCCTGGGCGTAGCCAGCAGAGGGCGCTGTGGTCCAGGCCCCGCACCAGCCTGGCTCCCGCGGCACCCCGAGTAGGGGTCTCTCCTTCGGCTCGTCCCAGCCCCTGCGCGCAGCAGACCCACTGGCCGTGGGGGGAGGGTGCGGGACCTAAGGCACCCGACCCAATGGGCGAGGGGCGAGGGTGCCTGTGTTCCCAGAAAAGACACTGAGGCCGGGTTGGGGGTCCGCCTGGTTGGGGGCCCGGGCGCCCGAGAACCTCGAGAGGCTGGGAGGAGCGCGGGTGCCGCGGGTCCAGGACTCCTGGGTCCCGCACAGGGCAGGGAGTGGGGCTGTGGAGCTGCCGGACTGGCGGCTTGTGCGCCCTTGCATTGGCTGCGCTGCTCGTCCGTCAGCGCAGCCTGGCCCAATGCGCGCGTCTCGGGGGCGGGCACTGGTGCTGATGCTGCCGTCAGTCGGTGTTGCAGGGATGCGGCGGCGGGAGCAGCCGCCCTGACTCGCGGAGCATCCTCCTCGGAGAGGCACCGCGGCGGGGCGGGCGGGCGGGGACGCGGCGGGGAGTGAGAGAAGCGCGAGGCGGCAGACACCGCTAACCCCGGCTCTGCCACCCGCCGGAGACGGGGCGGCCCTGTGGCTCTGCTACCCACCCTCCAGCTCCTGACGCCCCGAGAACCAGGTACAGGAGGGGGGGCTGCGGTGGAGACGGGCGGGGGGCGGGAGCCGATCGGGGGAGGGGAGCGGATCGGAGGGGGCGGGGGGGAGGCAGGACAGATGAATTGGGGGGCGGGGGCGCCGCGCTGAGAGGGCTGGCCGGGTGACAGCGAGGAGGGAAAGCCGCTGGGGGCTTGGGGGTCGGAGGCTCCCTGTGGAAGGGGCACTGGCCCTGAGCTGGGGAGAATGGAGAGGAGTAGGAGGGAGGGTCGTTGGGGGAAGGGATGGGGAGAGAAGGAGGGGCACCCAGAGGACTGTGAGGGGGTTCTAAAGGGGGGTCCCCAGTCTGTGCTAGCCCCAGAGGCTGGAAGCAGCGCCGGGCCAGAGGGGCTCTTGTGTTCTGGAGGGTATGCAGGGTAGAAACCAGCGAGGAACTGGGCTTCGTGGGAGGAAAGGAGAGGGGGCTGGAGAGGAGAGAGAAGAGAAGTGGAGAGGGAAGGAGAGGGGCCAGGCCAAGGGCTTCGTTCAGGGGGGACCCACTGAAGACCAGGCTTTCCTGGGGGATGGGAGCCAAGGGGAGAAGAGGTTATTGGGAGAGAGCAGAGGGGAATGTGCCAAGGTGCTCCAGGCAGAGATGGGTCTGTGCTGGTGGAGAGCTCAGAAAGATGGGGTCTGAGGGAGAGGAGCGGAAGCTTGCGGGGGAAGGCTGGGGGTGATGAGAGAGGGAGACTGGGAAATCAGTAGGAGGGGGCTTTCCTGGGGTGGGAATGCGCTGGGGGTGGTGACAGGGTTCTGGTCAGAGTGCTACAGGGGGAGAGGAAGCTGCAGGGCTCTGGGCTTGCTCCCCCACCCCTAAAGAGGAGGGGGTCATTTCTCATGTCCCAGTCTCCTCCCCCAGCTGAAGCAGCAGTCTTCCCTGGGGTCTTTGGGTTGGGGTATGAGCCCTTCAACCCTTTATGGGCTTTTGGGGGCACAATTGGCTTTGGGGTGCTGTTGTCTCCTTTACTCTCACCCCCCTCCTGGGTCTTGGGAGAGGGCATTTGATGCCTCATTGAGCTAGCAAGGGCTGGGAGGGGGCTTTTTCTTGGTGTCTGGAGGTGAAAGAGGAGGCTGTCCAGCTGGAATAATGAAATAGATTTTTAGGGGTTGGGTCTTGGGTCCCCAGT